GGGAACTCTGAAGGGGGGACAGCTGCCAATGGCCGTCGACCAGATCTGCCAGAGTCTTCCGGCGAGCAGCAGTCCGTTAGCCAAAGAACCGCAGTCGTCCCCAAGTACAGCAGGCTGGAATTCCCGTCGTACAACGACAACGAAGACCCCTTAGGCTGGCTGTATCGCTGCGAGCAATTTTTTCGGAACCAACGGACAGATGACCGGGATAAGGTAAGTCTAGCCGCCTTTTACTTAACAGAGGAAGCACAACTTTGGTTTTATCGGTTAGAGCAAGAAGAACCCGGGCTCAGTTGGCCCCAGTTTAAGTCCTATTGCCTTCTTAGGTTCGGACCCCCACTGACCAGCAATCCACTGGGTGAGCTGATTAACCTTAAACAGACCGGCACAGTGGTTGAATATCAGCGACAGTTCCAAACCCTCCTCGCGAGGGTATCCTTCGTGCGACCCGACCAACAAGTGGATATGTTCACGGTAGGGCTATCAGAACCCCTGCGGGTGGATGTCGAGATGCAGAATCCCCCAAATTTGGTCACAGCCATGAACTTAGCCCGTGCATTCGAGCGCAAACTGCAGCTCAACCACGGGATTTTTAATGTGGGTCGGCCACCAAACTCATGGGTACCCCTAAGATCAGTAGCAACGACCCCCTCTTCTGCTACCAGCCGAGAACTGAAATCTCCCACCACCACCGCCTCTAGACCAATGACAAGTACAGAGGCCAATGTTTCAACTGTGATGACCTCTACTCGGCAGGACATAGATGCAAGAGGCTTTTTTGCCTCCTCATCGATGAACAAGAGGAGGAGGAAGAAGAACCAGTCATATTTGAGCCAAAGATCTCTCTCCATGCGATCACCGGCATTAAAACTTCTCAGACCATGCAGTTACAGGCACAGATAGCAAGTCAACCGGTGCACATTCTCGTCGATTCAGGGAGTACACACAACTTCATAAGTGAACATGCCGCCCTTCAGTTAAAGCTGCCAATGGAGCTTCGACCGCGACTATAGGTAGCGGTTGCAAATGGTGAGAGAGTTCACAGTCTAGGAATTTATAAGGGCGTGCCGGTACAGGTCAATTCTGAACTGTTTCTTGCTGATTTATTTGTTCTTTCATTGGATGGGTTCGATATTGTTCTAGGGGTCAAGTGGTTAATTACCCTAGGGCCGATTTTGTGGGACTTCAGCGCACTCACCATGACCTTCCACCTAAATGGAAAGCAAGTTTCATGGCAC